CCAGGGAACTCCTACAGCTGATAAACACCTTCAGCAAACTAGCAGGATACAAGATAAACTCAAAAAAGTCAGTAGCCTTACTATATACAGACTACAAAGGGGCTGAGAAAGAAATCAGAGAAGCATCATCCTTTACTATAGCCACAGACAACATAAAGGATCTTGAAATAACGCTTACCAAACAAGCAAAAGTCCTATATAGCAAGAACTTCATGTCTTTAAAGAAAGCAATTAAAGAAGATACCAGAAAAAGGAAAGATCTCCCATGCTTTTGAATACGTGGGATAAACATAGCAAAAATGGCAATCTTGCCAAAAGCAATCTACAAATTCAATGAAATCCCAATCAAAATCCCAGCACAATTCTTCACTGACCTTGAAAGGATAATAATCAAGTTTATACGGAAAAACAAAAGACCCAGGATAGCCAAAACAACCCTGGGCAATAAAGGAACTTCAGAAGGCATCACCATCCCCTACTTCAAGCTCTACTACAGAGTTGTAGTCTTGAAAACAGCCTGATATTGGCACAAAAATAGACAGGTAGACCAATGGAATCAAATAGAAAATCCTGATATTAATCCACACACCTAAACATCTGATTTTTGACAAAACAGCTAAAAGTATACAATGGAAGGAATAAAGCATCTTCAGGAAATAGTGCTGGCACAATTGGATGACCTCAGGGACCTCAGACAGTGGAACCAGGATTTATCTCTGGTGCACAAACGACTTTGGGAGGGATTGATCCCTCATCCTAGAGGCAAGAGGGAAGGCCTAGTCCCTACTCCAAATGACTTGAGAGATTTAGATTATCCCTCCAGGAAGGCATCACCCTCCCTGTGGAGTGGGGGGAGATGGGATAGGAGAATGGTCAGAGGACATGGGAGGGTGAAAAAAAGAATCTTAAGTATTATTAGTATCTTAATATTTACATACAAACTTTAAAATCAGCATTATATCTTTGTATTTATTTATGTGCATTTCAAGATACTGGATGAATAATTTTCATCATTTTGAAAAGTTTCTTTGCAAAACATAATTGTATGAATTTCTTACAGTATATTTTTAATTGCATGTAATAATTTTTCTCCACCATGGTCAACATGTTTCTTACTCCTTTCTATATTTTTCTTCGTGTTCTTCCTTTTGTTAATTTTCTGTTCCCTATCCTTTAGCTACCTAATCCTGTTTTCTGTTTTATCTGTCCATGACCTGAATTTTACATGTACATTTCTGACATTAATTTCCCATTTATTTTTATTTATAGATGCCAAGTTCCTGTTCAAGTTAACTATCTTATTTCTGTTCATTAATCTTTATATTTCTTTCTTCTTGAAGACAGTATTCACATGTTTGTTGCACATATGTATATTTTTATGTGTATGTGAATATGAGTGCATATGAAAGTTAGAGGTTGACACTGTGTGCCTTCCTCAGTCATGCACCACATTATTACTAATTTTAATTAGGGTTTCTTACTGAACTTACAGCTCACCTACTGGCCTATACTGGCTAGAAAGCTCCAGAGACCCCATTGTCTCCCACACAATCCCTCCGTTCTGAGATAACAGGTGTGTGTCAACATATGTTGCCATAAAAATTTTAAAATTCTTGCACATTTGTTCACCTATATGTTGCTGTGTAATTGTGACTTTGCTTGTAGATCTTGTTTTTAGAACATATACCACTATTGATTAATATCTAATAATTTAGTTTTCCCCATTTAATTAATTTTTAGTATTGTTATTATTTTTATTATTTTACATTTTAATCTCAGTTCCCTCTCCCTCCCTCCCTGCCATGCCCCCAGAACCCCCTCCAATTCCAATCCACACTTCCCTCTCTGCAACTAGATTCCAGGAGTTCAGCTCAGTGTTTAGCTGTGGGTGTCTGCATCTGCCTCCATCAGCTACTAGATGAGGGCTCTATGATGGTACATAAGTTAGTCTTCGATCAGGGAAGGGAATTTAAGGTACCTTTCCACTGTTGCTCAGATTGTTAGTTGGAGCCAGTCTTGTAGGTTTCTGGACATTTCTCTAGCCTCACTTCTCTCTTCAAACCTATCATGGCTCCCTCTATTATGGTATCTATTTTCTTGTTGTCCTCCCTTCCTCCCCTGACTCAATCTTCCTGCTCCCTCATGTTTCATTTAAGTCCAAACATGGTTCATAAAACCATTAAGAGTTTCCTGATGGAAGCCACATTTCTAACACGGATACTTCATTCTTCCAGACCTTACTTCCATAATGGATTAAGATGGATTACAGCTTTGGCTAAATTTAATTTGTCTCTGCTTTTCCTTTGTAATTAGTACATAGACCTCTAAGTTTTAAAGCTGATAGCTTAATGAGTTCTATCCTCCTCTTCTTCCTTCCTTCTTCTTTTCCCCTTCCTCCTACTCCCCTTTCTACTTTTCTTTTTAGCATTGAGAAACTAACATAAATGCAATGTTGCTTTTTAAAGTTGTTCATAATAGATTCTTATTTTATCTGTTCTGCATGGGAATGAAATTAGACCAAGCTATGAATCATGTTAAGAACTAGCAAATATTCCCAGGAGTAGAGAAACCACAGGGGCAAGTTAATCTATGAGAGGGTCTTTCTTTTCTTGAGGAGTATCTTTCAATTAGATCTTTGGTCTCTCCCTTTCAGATGCTCCCCACTTTAATAGATTAGCTGCTCAGCCTGAAGCAATACATTCATCCACACCCTGTCCTTCTAGCCCTACAAAAGTCATAGTCCAATAAGTGTTCTTTCTTATCTCTGCTTCTCTTGTCTCAGAAAACAACTCTGACACTTTTCTCAGAGCTAGCTTTGAATTATGACCCTGTGCATCATTCATATCCTTACCACTATGTTCATGGTGCTCTCTCTGTCTTACTCTGTCACTTTAAGCTGCATCTTGTACTCTTTTTAATATTATTTTAAGTTTATCCTTTCTAGGTTTTCAAGGGAAGTTTCTCTTTCTTTTTGGGGCCCTGTCATGTTGCCTATGATGTGTGTGCCCTTTTCCTCCTAATTGCTCTTCCCCTTCAAGTCTTGATCATGCATTCGCATTAGTGAGTTGCTCTCTCCTAATAAATATTATTTCTTAAGGGTAATTTCAAGTTAGCTCCTTTTGCAATTCCACTCCTCTGACACTACTTGTCTAACACTACTTGCCTCATTTGACAACAAATTCATTAGGTTGACTCTCTCTTAGCTACCCTTGAGTATTTCCTCAACGATACAACTAATTCACCAGGGTATGTTGCTATAGGTCTTTACACAGCATTTCCACTTGTCATCACCTTTCCTACTATCACAGGCAAGCTGAGCCATCATCATCAGAAAGATTTCAATAACCTCCACCACCATATCTCACTTTAAATATTGCAATATAAACTTTTTTGGATTCTATAATATACTTTTTCTCTATTAACAAGTTGCTGGCAGGTAGTATATGAATGGACTTTGGGAGCCCATTCAGCATAGAGGGGTACTTTCTCAGCATAGACACATGGGAGAGGACCTGGGCCCTGCTCCAAATTATATGACAGATTTTGAAGATTCCCCATGGAAGACCTAATCCTCTCTGGGAAGAAGAAAGGGGATGGGATGGGGTTGGTGGGGGGAACAAGGGAGGACAGGAGGGTGAGGGGATTGGGATTGACATGTAAAACAAGCTTGTTTCAAACTTAAATAAAAACTATTAAAAATACTAATGCATTCTTCTTTCAAAATAAGTCAGACAATACTAATCTTTAGTTGAAAATAATCCACTCATTCCCTGTTTACCCATAGACTATAAACCTGGGCCCTTCAATGTTCTAGAAGATCATAGAGGCTCTGACTAGGTTATAGTCTACCTATACCTAGTACTTTCATTCACTCTTATGCTACTCAGCAGCCACATTTATTTAATAAGCCAAACACTTTTATCACTTCAATTTTTCCTGAGATGCTTCTATGCCGCATAGTACATTATTTCCTCAGATCATATCCCCATTTCATCATAAAATATCTAATCTTAAGTCACTTTATGAAATATTTTAATTTATACATAATAAGAATAATAACAATGAGTTGTGCCTGCCTGGATGATATATTTGCTTGTCAATGAAAATGAAACAGACTGGTCAAAAAATAGATACCTAATGGCCATCACAATCCAGTTAGGCAGGAGGAATACTATAATAATCTATAGCATAGAGAGAGGCTATAATTTGCAAGAGTTACATTTGTACATTTCAAAGTACCTAATGGAAGATGTTGAATGCCCTTAGAATTAAGAAATTATAAATACTGGAAAAGTTAGTTACCCAAAATTAACCATTTTAATATATATATATATGTTTGAAATGTCATAGTACATAGTATACATGTGTATGATCACTATGTATTTGAAGTTTTTCCATGGTTCTTCTTACTTTATGCCTACTTTTACTTTACTTTTATTTAATATTTATTTAAGATTTCACTATCATATTCTTTTCAATAATCAAAGCTCCATAAGGCTAGGGATTTTGCTTTATTAACAAATGCATTCCAAGCTTATAGAATAGAGTCTGTTACATAAGAGATGTTCTGTAAATATTTAATAAACTAATAATTGATAAAATATGTCACATATAATTACTTGAGACTTTTCTAATGAAGTTTCTATTTGAATATAATTCAGGTGTTATCAATTCTATACTCGAATAACTTACACAGATATTATTTTTCAGTCCTTGCTCTGTCTTCTGGAAAAGGAAAGATGTTGATGTTTCCATCTAATGACAGAAATTACTCTGAAATAGTGGAATACGGTTTTGTTTCTTAAGGAATAAAGAAAAAAAACTATTATAAGCCAAGTCTCCTATACTTAATCAGTTAGTATTACTTTACCTCATTCTTCTGACCCAATCCATGCCAGCAAGGATTAAAGTCAGTATTAGGAACTTCCCATGAACAAAGTAAAATATATTACATTTCTTCTGGAAGCAAATCAGATAAACAAAACATAGAAAATACATACAGCTTCCAAATTTCAGTGGGCAGGCATGCACATCCATGGGGAAATCTTCCAAATGCATAGGACATTCAGCATGTATTGTTAACCTAAAAGAAGAGAAAACAGAAAATGAAATACAGCAAAGAGAAATGTTATTAAACATAAAGCTCAGTTCCAACTCAACAGCAGTGGAGTACTCCTAAGAATACCATGGGGTTGTTCTTGTTTATTTTCACTGACAGTGAAGTCTGTATGCTAACAAACAGTGGATTAAGTGATCGAGGAGCTATTCAAAGCAGCAACTCATGTTGCTTGCTTTTAGTTACAACTGATGTGAATACTACATGTGTCATAACTAACAGAAAAAACATTAACCCACTGCTGTAGGAGAACATACATGTGTACACACACACACACACACACAAAATACTATTCCAAAATAAATACAAAGGTAATGAATGGAATCAAAAATCTAAAGGTCAAATCTGAAGAACTTTCAACAAAAGCATAAATAGGAAGGCTCATGCTTAAATCTGTCTGTGGAAATATTGGTGGGGTATAATTTGTCATATTACCTGTTCATTTTCTTGCATTAGTCTATTAAAATAATCCATATCAATGTTTCCTGATGAATTCTTGCCAATCATATCATATATATATATATATATATATATATATATATATATATATATATAATCCCACACAGTAAATATTTAAGTTTGCTTGAGTTGCTTGGAATCTGGCAACAGTAGGTTATTTCTATCTAATGTTTATACATACTATGTATATAGAAAACAGCTTATGTCATGCTCATGATATTTTAATAAGCTGAGAAGCTGATCATCAATTAGAATTTTGTTTCTTCTCCCAAAACCTTCCTTCTTTACAGTAGCATTTTTGCTCTTGGCTTTATATCACCCAGAATTTCCTTGGGACAGTAATTCCTGCTTAACAGAATTTCAACTTATCACATATAGGAATTTGTCTTGTTTCATATCAAGGCAATAGAGAAAGGCATGTAAGGAATCCAGTACACAAGGTCTCCATTCATTACTCTTCCTAACCACAGTGCTATTATAACAGTGTCAGCTAGTACAATCTCAGCAGGTACTTATTGGCAGAACACTGTTGCTCTGTACTGCTCCAGTTTGGTTGAAACAAGTGAGATACCAGGAAACATTCATATATATAGTCAAATTAAAGATATCCATACATCTAGGAAAGTATGGGACCTCAATGTGTAATTATTACCATTACAAGGATTATTGGTTATAACTTGAGCTATTCATAGCATTTTACAGTTTCTGAAACACATTCACATGCAGTAATCCCATTCAAGTCCACTAACACTTTCTGTCATAGAGAACTTGGTTGTCTGAAACAAAAGAGGATACTGAATCTATTTGACCCCTGCAGTGGCCCTGCAAGGAATATACTGGGTGTACCTTTATCATCTCTGTTTCAGAGATACAAATATCAAAAGTTTGTGTGATTTGATCAGAAACACACAACATGTAAGACTGGAACAAGTCTAAAGGTCTTGCTATATCAGCTACCTTCTGTAATTAGAGAGTAAATGGCTTCTCAGCCCCTGGGGAATGTATTAGTCACGTGACAGAAGCTTAATTTATCTGGAATTATTATTACCTTTGGATAAACATTTCCTATGTGTAAAGTAGTCGTGGGAAAACATGAAGAAAATATGCAAGAATAAGACAAGCATAGGACATAATTATTGCCCTCACAAGGATTACTTGTGTAGGAGGAGAAAAATAATACATACCCATTTGATGACCCCAGTAATAGTGGGCAGCTGTTGTGAACATTAGCATGGATATACTAATGGTATTTTCTTTTGCAGAAAAATCTTGAAGGGGTTATAATAGTATTATTCTAAAAACCACAGCCCCCCACACACAGCATAGCAGCATAGCCTGGCTAATGACAAACTCTGCCCACACATACACATGCTTTTTCTTCTTTGGTTAGGTGGGATGGGCAAGACATGGATAGAAAGGAAGATAAGAAAGTTATTATAGACCAGTTCTGTTCCTAATCAGAAATCACTACCTTTGCATCCTGCCTTTATAATCTATTTGTTGTGGCCTCATTCTCTACATCCCAAAGGCTGCTGGGTAGACATAAAATAATTTCCGTTTGACATTACTCATAAGAGGCAGTATCTTGGTAATAATAATGTACATGGAGAGAAGGAACACAATTTTCTTTATTAAATCCTCACGGAAACTTTTCAGTATTCAACATGAGGAGTCGGTTTCTCTGTGAAATATATTTCACTTGTGTTTTCTGTGAATTGTGAAGTCCCCATTAATGCTTTTAAAAAGTCAGGTTGGTGGGATATTACAGGCTTGTTTAAAAATTAAGATTTTTCTTCAAGACACAGGACAATGATTTTAAGTATCCAACTATAGAAACCTTTCTTGGACCATCAACTCCCAAATCATGACACAGAGATATATTATTAATCATGAATACTTGGCCTTAGCTTACGCTTGTTTCTGCCTAGAGTTTCTTCAACTTAAAATTAACCCATTTCTATTCATCTAGGTGCTTCCCTGTGGTTCATTTACCTCATCTCCATACTGTCCCTCCTGCTTTCCTGCTTCCTGTCTGTCTGTCTGGCCCTCGGGTAGCTGCCTAATCCCCAGCTGGTTGGCTCCTAGCTAGCTGTCTGGCTCCCCTTTTCTTTCTTCCCAACAGCCCTGCATATTCCACTTATGCCCAGCTATTGCCTGTTCAGCTTTTTGTAAGATCAATCAGGTGTCTTAGGCAGACAATTTGAAACAGCAACACAGCTTTACATAGTTAAACAAATGCAGCATAAACAAATGAAACACATCTTTACATAGCTAAACACTTATTCTGCAACATGAACAAATGCAACATGTCTGAGTTAAACAAATATTCTATTCCACAAAATCCCAGGGAATAGAACTGCAGGAGTCCTAGTCATCATATGGTTCCAACCTTTTGCTGCTTAAATAGCACACTGAAAATGAGAGCCATGTAGGTATTTGATAAAGGGTACACATCTAGATGTGCTTACTGTCTAGGAGGAATTTGAAAAATGTATACATCCAGTCCTGGAACAACCCATAAAGTTCTTTGAAAGGTGTAGAGAAAATGAAAGAATTATTTTGTTCAAGGCCACCATAGAAGACTTTATGAGAACAGGATCAACCAGGATGAAACTGAAATGGTAAACAAGGTGAAGTAAAGGATGGCATTGTAAAGAACAGTATATATGCTAGGATAAAAACCACAACTCTTAGAGCTCTGTTAAACCTTATGGTATTTTTGCTGCAGTTTTTTTCACTTTCCATGTACATTTCTTCCTTAAATATTTGTTTTTTAAGAACTGCATACATGAGTACTGTACTTACCTCACTTCTACCCCTATTTCAAACTCCTTTAACACCTCCTGTGTCTCTCCAACTACTTCTCAAATTTGTTCTTTTCTTTAGTTGTTATTATTATTACTATACACACATACATACATTTATTTATTTAAACAACTCTTCTCCAAGAATGAGTCTACTAATAGATTATTCAGTTCTAAACACATATACATATGAGCAACACTATATAATTCAGCAGTTTGTATTTGGTACAGGTTTTTAATAGACTTTTGGGGAAAAAGATCAGAGACTCCTGAAAGTACAATACTAATATCATAGAATTTCTGTCATGATCCAGGGTTTTGGTTGCTTTGATTGCTATGTAAATACCAAGTAGTAAAGAAGAGATAATCTGGGAGACACTTTACTTTATGGGAGGTAGATGCAGATCGGAATCCAAAGCCTTTTAAAGTTAAAGCATGCATGGGTATGCCCACACAGCCTGCCACATTGTAATAATGTCCACATTTTACTTGCATTGTGCCACTCTGGTTCTTTCTCGCCCAATACTTTGCTTTGGGAAGGTTTTGTTGGTTTGTTTTTGTTTTGTTTCTTTGTTTAGTTTTATTTTTTAAGCCACCATAGTAATAAGTCTATGTTGCATTACTGTCATGGCCTCCTAACTTACTGCTGTTAAAAGAAGATTCTCTATACTCCCTGCTTTATTCAGAATCAAAGTCTCTGTCCACTCAGAGACATAGAATGATCCTCCCTTGTTTCCCTCTGGTTTATTTTCTTGGGTTACTTGGGTCTGGCCCTTTCCAGAGTCTTTGATTCCATGGCTGTTGTGTTCTGTGTGACCAGAAAGTTCCACTTTCCAATATCTGGATGACTAATTTTACTTTATTTTTTTCTTTTACCATTTTGACTTTATTTAGTATAGGCTACATTTCACCTAGATATTAGCCACTCAAGCAAGGTGACAGTCTAACTGAAAAGAATGATGAGTGCAATCTGATGTAGAGTTCTTTGTTTCTCTGTACTCAGAGTGGTAGAGCTGAATCTTAAGGTAAATTGATTCCCATCTTCCTGAGGAAACTTTACTCTGATTTCCATGGCAAATCAGTTTGCACTCCCACCAGCAATAGAGGAGTGTTCTCCTTTCTCCACATTCTCCCAAGCATGAACTGTCACTTGTTTTATTGATATTAACCATTACAGCAGGTGTAAAATGAAATCTCAAGCAGTTTTGATTTGCATTTCCCTGATGACTAAGGATGTTGGACATTTCTTTAAGTGCTCACCAGCCATCTGATTTTCCTCTTTTGAGAAATCTCTGTTTAGGTCTATAACTAATTTTTAAAATATTTATTTATTTATTTATTTATTTATTTTACACCTTGGCTACAGTTCTCTCTCCCTTCTTTCCTCCCAGTCCTTCCCCTACTTTCCCTTCCTCCCCATATCCATTCATTCTCTATCTCTATTCAGAAAAGGGCAAGCCTCCCATGGATATAAAAAAATGTGGCATATCAAGTTGCAGCAAATCACCTCTCCTTGTTTCAAGGCTTGACAAGGCAACAAAGTATGACAAATAGTGTCCCAAAATTCAGCAAAAGAGTCAGACACAGCCCCTGCTCCCAAAGAAGACCATTTTGAACTTGGGTTATTTGCTTTCTTGAGATCTAGCTTTTCAGTTCTTTAAATATTTTGGATATTAGCCCTCTATTGCATGGGTAGTGAGTAAA